GTCAGGTTATTTTAATATTTTGAAATTTACCAAACAGCAAATTCTAAAAACAAAAGCTGAATTTAATTTTAAAATGGTACTTTGTTAATGGGAGAGAGGAAGAAGTTTATCTTAAAAACATCTCTCAAAGAGAATCTGTGGCATATTTGTACTTAGAAGTAAAAACCAGCAATTTCATACCTAGACTGTAGGAGTGAAATGCCCCCCCACCAAGTGCCCAGTGCATTTTCCTTCATCATACAATTGCTAGCCATTGCTTTGCGGAGTGCTCAGAAATTTGTCATGAGAGTGGCCATACTCATCTGTGGTTTATCACATGCCATGTGACATCTTCTTTAGACTTGTTTAGACAGATGTTAATTTCAAAAACAGTAAACTTCAACCCATGATGCATATAATTAATATGTGCACAAAAAGTTCTTGACCTGGGTACTCTAGAGTGGCTTTTCCCGCATTGTCTTTAGTTTGGGAATCTTTCAGCTGGCTTCCAAATAACATATGCCAGTGGATCTCTCCCCTTTGGTACTGAAGATTGAATCCAGGGCCTTTGCACTAAGCCACATCTCCAGCTCTTTTTTCATTCTGAGGCAAGGTCTCTTAAATCACTAAGTTGCCCAGGCTGGGCTTGAATTTGCAATCCTCCTGCCTCAGCTTCCCAGAGTGTTAGTATTGCAGGTGTGCACCCACCGCCCCCAGCTAAAATACAAGTGTTGTGATGAAACATAGATGGGAAAAATCCTAGTGACTGACACCAGCCAAAACCCTCTTCTTTATATAAAACCATGGCGGTACAACTCAAAGTTGACAGTTTGTGGCCTAAAGAAAGGAAAAGTTGCCCATCTTCCAGCCACAGGTGCCCATCACATGCTCCCCTCTTGATCAGGATGAGTTTTCTCTTCACCATGAATTTCATGGGGAAAGAGGACTGGGCTTCCATCCTGTCTCAGGGATTAGGACCTGATGCTGTCCAACAGGCAGTTGCATGTGAGCAGTTCAGGGTGATTCCCAAGTATATCTGGAAGGACAGATATGTAAAAGTAGTCAAGGTGATGTTGAAAAGGAAGATTTGAGAGGGAAAACATCTGTCAGGTACTGAATGATACTGTAACACTACTGTGCCCACTAAAAGTATCTTTCTTTGAAAATGATGGATGTAGCTCAGTGTAAAATGCTTTCCTAGCATGTATAAGGTCCTAGGCTTAATCTCCAGCACCAAAAATGAAACAAAACAAAACATAAATGAGAAATTATTGGCAAAGAATATAACAAAATGATAATGAATTGTGTATATTTTAAATAAACTTTTCCCCCAAAAAACCTGTTTTAGGTGTAGTGGTGCATTCCTTAATCCCAGCACAGTGGGAGGCTGAGGCAGGAAGATCTCAAGTTCAGTATGAAGGCCCTGTGAACATTCCCCAGTACTAAAAACTTAACGTTGGTCTGGTTCAGAAGAGCACTGAAATATATAGTAAAATTTAGCGCATGAAAAGGGAAATATTTTAGAGCTATGAGATTTGGAAGTTTTTTTCATGTGTTTTGTTTTTTGTTCTCGGAATTGAACCCAGGGCTGCATGTGTGCTAGGCAAACACTACTATTGAGAGAATCAATTTTTTTTTTGGTACCAGGGATCAAACTCAGACCTTGCTCTTGCAAGGCAGGCACAGTGCCACTGAGCTAAATGTCCCTGACCATGAATCAGTTTTTAAGTAGATGGAACAGGGATAGCTTCACATACAAGCCCCATCCTGGGAAAAACACTTGCCATGTATAAGACAAGTTCTTAGTTAGTCCTTATAAATCAGTAAGAAATACATGAACATCGCTTCTCAGCCTTTTGGCTAAGATCAAGTGTAGAAATATATGAACAGGGTCCGGGAGGTAGCTCAGTGGCACAGTCTTGCCTGGAATCCATGAGGTTCTGAGTTTGATCACCAATACCAAAAAAAAGAAATATATGAACAGAGTGACTGGTTACTAAAAAAGTGATATATGTGACTAATAAATTTATGAAGAAGTATTTGGTGTCAGTAGTAATGAAGGAACTGAAATTGTAAACAGTTACATGCCATCTACCACCTATCAGACTGGCAGAGATATTGTTCAGCTCTATAGAAATGGTGAGGATTCTGGGGAGGGCACTGACCCACCTTGCTGAGGGTGCCAAAGTTGGATCCCTGAAAAACCTTAGCAGCACATGGCAGTGGCTGGAGGTAGCAGAAGCCAGCTGGAAGATGAACAGAGGCATAGGTACACAGAACTCTGCTGTAATGATGACATTTTAGAGCAACCTGAAAGCCCTAGAAGATGACAGATACACAGAGGGAGACACGTGCGCCCATGAGAAGCGGGAATGGTAGTGTGTCACCAATATCGAGCGAATAAGCAGGGTGATTACGTGTCTGCCTACTATGCATTCAACCTCCCTATGCACACATACACCATTTTGGAAGGGTCAGTGTCACAATTTTAACTGACACTAGATAGTAAGATCATGGATATAAATAACAATCCTCTCTACTTATCATCCTCATCTGACTTTTCTACAAATATGTGTAGTTAATGTAACTTTTTATGTTTCTTGTACTAGAGATTGAACGCACGGCCTTTTCACTGAGCAACATCCCAGCCCTTTTTTTAATGTTTTGTTTTGAGATGGGGTTTTACTAAGTTGCTCAGGCTGGGCTTGAACTTGGAACTCTTCTGCCTCAGCTTCCCAAAGTGCTGGGAGGATTACAGATGTGTGCCACCACATCTGGTTTATGTAATTTTTTAACTAATAGGACTTTAAATTATCCAATTAAAAGTATATTTGGAAAAAATATATATATTTGGACTAAGGATGTACAGCAAGGCCGTGGATCCAATCTCCAGCACTGCAAAACAAAGCAAAAAACCAGCAATTAGTAGCATTCATTTTTTTTTCTTCACTAACTGGTCATGTCCACCGTTAATTCACAGCCACTGTTTCCAGTTTTGTATGGCTACACTAAAATTGTGCATTTTGAGCCAAATTTGTGACCAGGAGGTTGGTAGTTGCTGCCATACATGGTGGTGTTTACAAGGACAGAGGGTCGAACAGAGAGCTGCAGAGGAAGGCATCCAAGGCTGGTGGTGAGACACAGGGATAGATCACCTGGCCACCTCAGCCGTTAGCCTTTTTGGTAGTTGTGATGCTGATGTTTAGTAGTTGTGCCAGCCTATAATCCCAGCATTTGGGAGGCTGAGGCAGGAAAATTCCAAGTTTTAGGCTCACCTAGGCTATATAGCAAAATACTTCAAAAGGAAAAAAAAATTTTTGGCATTTTTCTTTCTGTAGAATATTTATTTTAGTTCATTTTCTTCATTTTACTTGAGCTACATATAGTGTCCTCGATCCTATGTAGACTTCCTCCTTGATTTGACCTCTTTCCTGTCAGCCCTCCACTGGGTTTTTCCACCCTCATTCATGGGACAATGAATCATCCTTTGGTAGGAGCCCATAGTTTCAGCACAAAGGCCTCGTAGAAGCTGCTGCTGCTGCAGGAGGGCCTTCTGGCACCCACTGCCCGTGGACGACAGGGGAAGAGGGTGTGTTTATTTCAGGAAGTACAGCCATAACCTGCAACGATGAATCTCCTCTTCCAGATAGCCAAACCTGAATTCAGAGTCATTTTTATATTCCTGTCTTCTGAGAAGCTCTTTATGCCTTAAAAGGTTGGCTGATGTTCTTACTTCCTGACATTAAGTTTATTGACATGTACTATATTCCCATTTCTTGCTCAGTAAAACCAATGTTTTACCCCCACCCACCAGCCACTATAGGAATTACAGCTGGTGGTCCAAGGGCCTGCCTGTCCCGGCCCCTCTGTACGGACTTAGTCCACACCAGAACCTTTAGGGTCACTGTTCCTCCTCAGACCTGTCAGAGTTTCTTTCATTTTGCAGAGTGCTTACTTTTCACTTATTCACTGATTATTTTGCTCAGAAACTCTCCATGTAGCTTACTATGCCAACTCTAAACCAATCTCCAGGCCTCTTCTAGAGACTTAAGAGTGAAGACAAGAAGCATGTGCCACCCAGAGCCTGCTAGTACTGGGCAAGGATGTCTCCTACATTTCTTTAGTGCAGCTGAGGTAGATCCTCAGCTGAGTGGTAACTGAAATGCACATTAAGAAAAGTAGCCTTGGGGAAGGGTAATAAGGGAAAAGAAAAAAATGTGAGAAGATGAAAAGATGGAAATAAAGTGTTTGTAAATGGGGAGGGGAAGAGGGAATGAAGGGAGGGCAGGGACAAGGGGAAAAAATGAGAACCAAGACCTTTCATGTAGAGGTACAAGATCCCAATAATGAATGTAACTGTACTGTATACCTAAAATGTACCAATAAACTCAATTAAAAAAAAAAGAAAGAAAGAAAAGTAGCCTTTGGGGGTGGGGATTTAGCTCAGTGGCACCTTGCCTGTCTCGCAAGCCCAAGATCCTGAGTTTTGATCCCTGGTACCAAAAAAAAAAAAAGAAGAAGAAGAAGAAAGAAAAGAAAAGTAGGCTTTGTCTTGTTTCAGGTTTGAGTATCGGGAATGATTCTGTTCTATTGCAGACAGGACCAGCTGCATTATTTTTGGTGTGTTAAATTACTAAAAATTTCAGAATGGCAACAGCCATTAACCAAGCACAGGCCCTCCTATATGCAAGACCTTGTAATGGCTCACATCACACAGGTTCATGAAGGCAGCCCTGACTGGAATTCATAGGCCTTGATGAAGGACCTAACCTGGGGGAAAAGTTCCATGTTACTCAGTTTTGGAGTGCTCCTCTTGCCTCCTCTCGTGGCTTATGTGTGCTAAGGTTTTCCTGGAGAGGGAAGGCACCATAAAGGAGTGCCTGCTACTGGTCAGCGTATAGCCTCAGAGGTGCATCTGACCTCTTAGTCTTTGAAGCCCATGGTCTTTTACACGAAGGGCTGCTGTTACCCAGCCAGCTTCCACTCACGACACCTGTTCTTTTTCTCTTTTCCACGCATAGAAATTCATTGAGTTTGAAGATGCCTTGGAACAAGAGAAGAAAGAGCTCCAAATCCAGGTGGAACACTATGAGTTTCAGACACGCCAGCTGGAACTGAAGGCCAAGAACTATGCAGATCAGAGTAAGTAGGAGATGAATCGCCATTGAATGTGTATTGTTCTCCGACCAGTCTAGCTGAGAAAGATACCAGGTCCTTTGATAAAAAGAGATTAGAGGAAGCCCAAGGTTGGCCTTAGTTTCTTTTCAACATTTCTTTTCTCTAGAACACTTATTTTATCTTTTTCATACCACACTGTATTTCTGTAACAGGCTCACATCCTTTGTGAAGAAAAACAAGACCTCTTTGATCACTTGGCATTTGTACTTACTAGTATAATCTGACCTAAAAAAAAAAAACCCACATTCATGATTCTACACGATTCTATAGGTAATTCCACGGTCCTGTAGAACAAAGCTCCCATTGCCATGGGGTCCTCATATTCTGACCTGACTGAGGAGTACTTGGCTTTTGTGGATGTGAAGATCAGATCTATATATGGAGCCACTGCTATAGGGACAGTTCCTAGGAGAGGTTCATGTTTGGTCAAGGGTTTTCGTAGAAACACTCTGTCCCCGCAGGGCAATATAGGCAAAGTGTTATTTTAGAATCATTTCTGTAAGAATATGTATATTAGTTTTTAAAACTATATTCAAGTATCAATGTTATTATTACTTATTTGATCTCAGCTTTCTGTGATGAAATGTTTCTGTGATTTTACTGCTTTACCTGGTTATCTTGGATGGCAGGCACTTAAAATCACATTGGGGGAAAAGTTGATTTGATTTGTTGGGCCTGTTCCTATCCCAGACCAAGACCTGGAGGCCACTATACTGGGCTGACAGCCCACTGACAAGCTTGAGCACTGATATGTGACCAGAAGGTTGGTAGTAGCCACCATACCTGGTGGGATTTACAGGAACAGAGAGCTGCAGAGGAAGGCATCCAAGGCTGGTGTTGAGTCACAGGGATAGATCAGCTGGCCACTGCAGCCAGTTAGCCTGTTTGGTAGTTGTTATGCTTGAGCAGGCACATGTAGGTCAGAGAAGACCATTCTGAATGTCACCATTGGCCCCCAATTTAGGGAGGCCTGGTCGTTAACCTGGATTGGGCATAGACATCAGTTGGTTTTCTAAGTCTTCTGCAGGTTTAAGGGGTGCTACTATTGGTTCTGTCACATGCGTCCCATTTTCTTTCACTTCCTACATGTCTCAGAGGTTACTCTGAATTCTGCCTCTTTTCTTAAGCTTCTTGGTTGCTTTTCTTTCTTTTTTTTTTTCTTTCTTTTCAGTGCTGGGCATGGAACCTAGAGCCTTGCACATGCGAAGCAAGTATTCATTCTGTCATTGAGCCACATACCCAGCCCTCACTTAAGTCACAGAAGCTCTTGGCTGACCTGGACAGAGATTATTATGTGACCCCATTGTGGGTCCTGGTTTTCCTTCAGCAGAACTGAGCATCTTCACATTTACGCACATACCATATGCCACCTAACACTCCATACCATAGAGGCTCCTCCAAGCATGAGGTATTAGGCTAGGATCTTGTTTGCAGCCCAGGGGAGAGGTACGAGACACTCGGTCGGTTCTATGCAGCTAACCCTCAGTGGTTGTGTTTTACAGTCTCCCGATTGGAGGAGCGGGAATCAGAGATGAAGAAGGAATACAACGCCCTGCACCAGCGGCACACAGAGGTAGGCACTAGCGGGCACAGGCAGCCATACCTGACACTTACCATTTGCTATTGACCTTTGGTCACCATCTCTAGTTCCTTCTTTTATCTAGAAGGCTGGCCACCTCATTCTGGTGAGATTTCTCTAGACTGTATCTTGAATTTATCTGTTTCTGTCTGAGCATGGTATATCTGGATCACAGTGTGGGGCTCAGCTGGCCACACTAACGAGAGATCCTTTTTGGCAGATGATTCAGACCTATGTGGAACACATCGAGAGGTCCAAGATGCAGCAGGTTGGGGGGACCAGCCAGACGGAGACCAGTCTGCCAGGGCGAAGGTAGGTGACCTCAGGAAAGCAGGGTTCCTGATGGGAAGAGCGGGGGCAGAGGGTAGCTAGGCAGGAATACCTATAGGGGTCACTGTGCCCTTGACAGGTATGTGTGGAATTGTGCCTGTGCCTTCTGCTCAGTCCCAGGTCAGTCAGGCCTAGGAAAATTATACACGATCAACGCTCACTATTTACAGACTTCGTGTTTGTAAATTTACTTGCTCACTAAAACATTTGAAGCCTCAGAATTAATACTCATGGTGCTTTTGAGTCATTTGCAGACACAGGAAGGGATTAGTCTACCATGTACACTTCCAACCCCTGAGAAAGGCAGAAGTAGGCGGCGCTCTGCCCTCTTCCCTGAGCCCCACACCAGGATACTAGAGGGAAGAACCTGGGGGGCCAGGAAGAGTCTGTGAGCATCTGGAGACTTTAGCCTGATGGTGTGCCTTGAAGCCAGGAATCTGCTAGTGGAGGCCTTGGCCTGTCACCCAACGCTTCTGACCTTCTTTTCTCATTTGTAGAGTCAACCAGTGATAAATTAGTGTAGGACCTGCGACTGGGCTCTCTATATACATTTTCCCCCAGGGCTATGGTTTAATGTTCACTAACCCATGTTTGAGGATTAGCTGACTATGGTTTGAAGAAGAACAGGCTACCTTGCCTAGCCACCTCTGAGCCTCGTTCCCTCTACAAGCAGGATAGTGGCAGATCCCTAGGCCCCTGCTTGGCACAAGTTTAGGTCTTGGTGCTGATTTTTCTCAGGCAGCAGGGAGAAGCTTTGTGAGGCTGGGCTTCTCCCCACTCTCTGTGTCTCTTGAATCAGGTCAGACCCAGGAAGCAAAGCATCAAAGATTTCATCCAGCCTGGGGATTTAGCTCAATGGTTCTGCTGCTTGCCTTGCAAGCCCAAGGACCCAAGTTCGATCCCCAGTCCAAAAAAAAATCCTCATCACTTGAGGAAGTGAGTGAGTGATCAGTGATAACAACCTGGACCAGGAGGTTCCAAGTCTTTGTTGGATGAGGGTAAGGGCCTGAAGTCAGAATCCCCAGAGTCACTGATTGAACCACATGACACCCTGATACCTTGTCTCTAGTTCATGCAACAAAGCTTTCTGAAGTCAGGGCTGAGCCAGAGAAAGTCCTAGTCAGTTTGCATAATGTTGTACCTGCAGACAAGTTTCAGGAATCCAGCTCTGGGCTTCCCTGGCCACTTTCTGGGTGACTGGGGCAAAGCTCTCTGTTTCTCTGCCCCAAAGTCTTTGACCTAAAACAAAAATGTGTATTTGTGCATGTGAAGGCCTCCTAGAACCAAGGTAGGTTGTGAGGGGCTGGCAGTGTGCCTTCAGACACGGTGTTGCTGTCTCTAACAGAGTGGGGTCTGCACCACATATGGTAAATGCTGGTTGCTTGCACCAGGTTACAGGCTTTGTTGGTAGATCCTGATTGCTACAACAATTACTGAAGTAATAGGGGTGAAAGAGTTTGGCAAATTGTAGTTTTTTATTACACCTAAAAGATGGAAATACTGAATCCTAAGCTGCCAGTTCATGACTTAGGAAATTTTCTCTTCTGTGCACTGAAATCCTGATTTCCGGCCTTCAGAATACTTAAGAGGATTTCTAAATAACTGGACCTGAATTCTAATCTGGAATCAAGGGTCTTCATGTTGTTTTTATGGGGAGCTGAATGGAGCAATCGACACTGAGGCAGAAGTTGGACAGGTTGAGGATCTTCCTAGAAGAGCTGCAACATTCCACAACCTTCTGATTATGTCCTGCCAGGGACCTTCTAGAGAGGGATACTTGGGAGTCCATGTAGAGGAGAGTGCAGGGAGAGTGGCCCAGTGTATCTCTGGAGTTTGGGCAATATCACCTCAACCTAGCACTGTAGGCAGTGAGTACCCAGGGTCCTACATCACGGTGATCAGCACTCCAGGCTCTATAGATGCTATGTGAGTAGATGCCAAGGATCCTGTAGGCTGAGCAAAAAAAATCAGGCTGAGCCAAGTTTGAAGCCACCCAGACTTCAAAGCCAGTGTAAAACATTCCAGCCACTAGAAGAGGTTCCTCAGTTTAGGGCAGGGTGTGCTATGCTATCTTCATGGGGAGAGGAAATTGCTGCCAAAATGTCCTTGAACCTGTTCTCCTGAGCAGTCTTCCCAGAGCCCTGTACCCCAACTCCCCATATGCTTTCTCTGTGGTGCCGGAGTTTAGCTCCAGCTCCATGGCAAGCCATCTATGGGAAGCTCCTGGTCTCCTTGAAGGAGCCCATATCCTGGGGCTGGATGTACAGGGCCTCATTTAGGTAGCCCCCTGTGGCTCCACAGCAGCTCTTTCTCTTCCTTTATGGAACCAAAATGTACCTGTTATATGAAGCCCTGTGACTTCTTTTATGTGTCTGTAAGTCTGCTCTTTGCTGCCTTTACTGAGTCCTATGGACTGGCCCCTGCATCTGTTCTCTTGGCAGCACAGGCCTTCAGCGCCCAGCAGCAGAGTGATACCTGCAGTGAAAGGTTGGCAGGAGGATCTTTCTCCATGCTTTGTACAAGCCCCAGGATCCCCTTTCCTTTAACAGATGAGACCTACTATCCTGTCTAAGAGTCGGGGGGCTATCTTGTTCATAGTGACACTTATTAGCCTTGGTGGCCCCCATCCATTCTTCCAGCAGGGACTCTGTAAGTCCATGGCGTCTGTAGCCATGTCACCACAGTCCCCATACCTCATGAGCTCTGTTCCTAGACTACCCCACACTGGTCTCCATGGCATATAAAAAGGGTGCCTTGCTGGGCGTGGTGGCGCACGCCTGTAATCCCAGCACTCGGCAGGCTGAGGCAGGAGGATCCTTGTGAATTCGAGACCAGCCTGGGCTACATAGTGAGTTCCAGGTCTTTCTCAACTGTATAGTGTAGTGAGACCCTGTCTCAAAAAACCAAAAAAAAAAAGGTGCCTGCAGCGAGGTTGAACATGGGCTGGTGGCCACTGTCTGTACAAGTCTTGGTTTGAAGGGACATATGCTCCCAGGGTTGGGGAGACAGGAAGTAGAAGGGCCAGTGCTCAGGGTCTGGGCTTTCCCTGTCATCCTACCCAGGAGTCTAGTGGCATTGAACTTCTTCCCCAGACTGTTCCCTGTAGCAGTTGTAAAGCGCTTCTTCTGGCTTGTGCCTTCCTGCCACAGCTCCTGTTGCTGAAGCCCCCACTGGGAACAAAATCATCTGGGGCCCCGGGTGTGGATAGCAGCCACCACCTGACACATCCAGAGGGAATAGCTGGTTTCAGTGAAGAAAGCACACCCCACTTTTACCCTGCAGGGCATGTTCCTGGTAGGGCTCAGGTGTCAAGACAGTCCTTCATGACCTGTGCTGCTGCTCTGTCGGGTGGGCGAGGTGCACAGTCCCTCCCCACTCATCTCTATTCCAGCCAGAGGCTGCACACTCTTCCTTGGCTAAACTCTCCTATCGCAGCCTTGTCCTTTGGGGAAAATACCTACGTCTGTCCCCTCTGAGCTCAGATTCTTCCAGATCCCTACAAGGCTCTTACTCCTCCTCAGTCTGAGCTCCTGATCACTCCTGACCCACAGGGCCTTTTCCTGCACTCCTAGCGTGGTTTTCAGAGTCTCTGTATCTCTGGGATGAACTGAGTGGGAGCTCAAACAATGACTGTGCTTGGCCATCACTGAAGATGTGAGTGTGAGCTGTAACATGTATGTCTGTGTATGTGTGCTGTCACCCCATGTGCCTTGCACACATGTGCTGGGTGCTTTGTGACAGGTTTTGTGCCCACTGCTTGCTGATGTGCTCACAGGCCCTATCTCAACCCTTTGTTGGAGCCAAGCGGGTTTGTGTGCCATGTGTCTGTCCTTGCAGGTATCTGTGTGTAATCACTGTTGTTTGTATAGAGGGCAGCACAGGATGGGCCACTGGATGCCCACCATCGTCATCATGCACGTCTCCCTGGGAGTGCATGCACAAGCGGGAGCTGGCCTGACCTTCACTCTAATATAGTCTTCTTGTCCTGCTCTTGTGCTGTCGCTGCTGTGTGCTGACCATTGTGTCTGTCGCTGCTCTGCAGTCCTCGCCAGTCGTGGAGGAAAAGGTAAAGCCTGAGGGTCTTTGTCCACTGTGGTGCTGGGGTTGACCAAGGGCAGAGTAAGTATAGCCTACTGCCTTAATCACAGTCACCCAGTTCCTTAGCATCAGGATGATTTCTGCAGCTGATGCTGTGGATCAGAAGTATTTGTTCATATGGCTATGACTGAGAAGGTCGCAGGCTGATCAGAAGGTCCCTGGCACAAAGCATGTAGTGGGCAGGAGTTGCCTGAGTTGTCCAGGCCTTACTCAAGTTCTGTGCTCGTTCAGCAGACATCTCCCTCATAGTGGATAAATTCATGGCATCCACCCACACCAGTGAGCAGCAGGCAGCCAGAGCACCAACTGTTAGCAGAGGCAGTAGGCCCGTGAAGGCATCTTGTCTGCTCCAGCATGTAGTGCTTCTATACTCACAGACCATTGTGGTCACTTACCAGCGCAGACTTGTTGGGGTGTGGGGGGTGAGGTGGGGATAGGGTCTGCCTATGTAGCCCAGGCTGGCCTTGAACTCATGGTGATCCTCTTGCCTCAGCCTCCCAAGTACGGGGATTATAGGTGTGAACCATCACACCTGGCTCCAGCTCAGCTTTGCTGGACTGTGACCCATCAACAGTGTGACCTCCATGGTCTCTGAAGTAGAGAGGTATTCAAGGCTGCCCGGGGAGCTGTGAAGGTGAGGGGAGAGGACACAAGGGTTAAGCTTTGGGCATTCCTATCAGTTGGCGGTGCCACTGAGTGCTTGCAGGGAAAGTGGGAAAAGCTAAGATGTGTTCCTAGTTATAGATACATTTCTACCAGACCCAGCAGGCTGGCTAGATGTGGGAAGTCAGTGGTCTGCAGGGTATTCATTGCCCCATCCTGTGAGGCAGGAGCCTCCCCTTACTCCCCTTATCCCTGTAGCATCTGGTGACAGTGAGCCAGGCGTGGTTTCAGACACCTATAATCCCAGCACTTTGGAGGCTGAGGCAAGAGGATCTTCATGAGTTCAAGGTCAGCCTGGGCTACATAGTGAGCTCAAGCCCAGTCTGAACTGCATAGCAAGACCCTGTCTCAAAAACAAAACAAAAAAACCTAGTAGAAGTACTTTATGGGCTCAGAACTTGGGTCCTAGGATATTCCTCCTACCAGATTTGGGAGTTGAAGAGAGGCCAAATGTGGGAAAGAATAGGCCAGGGTATTCTCCTCCTCCCATGGGCTGGTAGTGATTTCAAGGTGGTTTACAGGCTGTTTCCAGAACAGTTCTAGTGGAGCTGAGTCAGGGAGGTCTGGTGAATTGGCCTTCTCGGGATCTGAGTTTCTCTGACTCTTACAGTGACAGTCCCAGACGTGACATGTCCTCTGCAAAGGGGTCCTGAGAGCCAGCCACAGGAGAATGCCTTTAGAGCGTGTTGGTCTCTATACCACGCTTCCTTGGATGCTGAGGAAGTGCCCCCAGCCATCTCTAGAGTTGAGTGTCACTGACTGTGTTGTGAGCAGATGTTAATTCTTGCCTTGAACAGCTGTAAATAGTGTGGACAAAGTCTGTCTGAGGAGGGTGGTGCTGCCCGGGTCCCTGTCCTCACTGCTGTTTACCACTCGCTGAAGGTCTTCCCTAGACTGACCCCAAACTGGTACAGTGAGCTTTGCCCTTGTGACTCCAGGCTACCTGTTGCTTCTGATTTGTTACCAGAGCCTCAGAGACACCCATGTTTCTCTGAACACTTCCAAGACAGCTGGGAGGGTTGCATCGGAAGAGCAGATGCTCCTCATGGGCTTCAGCAGACAGGATCAAGATTTTCAGCTCTTTTGACTCTGGACACGTCCTTTTCAAACATTTTTCAGTGAGACAGCGCCATAAAAAAAACCACAGGACTGATGGGGAAGCAAAGAGCAGAGATACAGGGAAAGGACTGATTCCCCTGCTAGCCTCAGGAGGCATAGGCAAGGCTGTTACAGGAAGGCAAATCTGGGCTTTCTCGTCATAAAATTCATTCACGGCCACCAGTCAGCGCTGGCCATGATGCCGAAGGTCCCACACTGAACGCTGCTATGGAATTGCTAGTAGTGACACCATAGGTATCCATTTAAAATTGAGCTAAACAAAAGTGGTAAATCCTGTGTTAGGAGGCGAAAGGTTATATACATAGGTTCCTGGGCTACCAGCTGTTCATGTCCTCCTGAGCAGGCTTCTCAGTGCTGCCCACTGGATAGGTATTCTTGTACCCATAAAAGGATTTTGTTTCTCATGCATCTCTGCTAACCATCTACTTCCTCTTCCTCCCCCACTTCCATGTTCCAGCAGGAAAGAGCGCCCTACCTCTCTGAATGTCTTCCCCCTGGCTGACGGCATGGTACGTGCACAGATGGGGGGCAAGCTCATGCCTGCGGGGGACCACTGGCACCTGAATGACCTCGGCCAGCTGCAATCCAGCTCCAGCTACCAGGTTTTGTAGCCGTTTGTGGAGTGAGGATTCCCTCACTGGTGTCCTACATCTACGTAGGAGAGCCCAGTCTTTGCATGCAGCTGTCCACCCTCCCTGACATGGGACAGGGACAGAGAGACCAAGCTGTGGTGTTAGGAGGCACAGGCCTTAGAGTGAACACTGTGCTGTCGCAGCTTCTGTGTGCAGGTTTGTATTAATGCCTGCTAGTCCAGGCTAGACCTCTGCTACTAGAATGGATCACTCTGCAATTGGAACTGCCATGTCTGTTAGGACTGAGTTTAGCAACCCTCTGCCAGACCATACCCCAAAGTATATGCCTTCCCCTCACACCAGACTCCAGCCAGGTTGCATGTTGCTCCTGAGAGCTGCCTTTACTTCTTACAGGCATTTAGAGTCAGAGCCTTGGCCTCGACTGGGAGGAGGCAAAGGCAAGGAGATGGCTCCCTCCACAAGCCCTTCCCTTCTCATTACTGGTAGTGGTTCTTGGCTGTGAGCTGAACACCCCACCCCACCTGCCCACCAGTATTCCGAGCCATCCAGCGAGTACACCCCAAATAGTGGGTCCGGGGAAAGCTGAGTCACTCATTCAGGGCCCCAGGTCACTTACTGCTGTTGAGGTCTATGTGCTCAGACTGCCTGGAAGGCAGCTGTAGCAGGGTTGTATGCTGGCCACATTGCCAGGTAAGGATGGTCACCTTCCTGGGGCAGAAGAGCTGATCTTAGTTTGGTGAATTTCTCACAGGCCACTGGAGGACTACTGCAGAAGCCAAGCCCTGGTCTTCTGTACTTGGTGGGGCTGGTGGCTGCGGGGCCCAAGGCTTCTTTGGTGTCACTCCTACTGCTGCTCTTGGCAAACTGTCCTGCCTTTTCCAGCTTGCCTGCAGGGGCTGCTGTGTGCTGCTGACACTGTTGAAAAAGGACTCCACTACTTCTGCTTTTGTTCCAGCGAATGAGTGTGTCTCTGAGCTATAGAGACACTCACACCCAGTTCTCACTGTTCTGCCAGTGTTTGTGCCTGGGGAAGAAGACAGTGAGGCCCATGGGGACCCTGCTATCTTCTGGCTTTCTGGGCAAGGACCTGCCATTTACACTGACTACTCTGACTCGCTCACTCTTGCTCACACTGGGTCTGTGGTGGAGGCTTGCCTCATAAGCTTTTGCTGCCATAGAGCACCAATACCTCACTTGACCCTCTAGCCCCCGGGCACCCTGCTTATGCCCATGTCTAGACCAGTCTTTCTTACTATGTCTGTCCTTTCTCTACTACATTGTCTGAACTAGTCTCTCCATAAATCATAGTGTTTTATGTTTTAGTTTGTAGTGTGTTTTGTTTGATTTTTCCTTTTTTAAAAAAAAATATATTTTAAGTTCTTTTTATTTCATTCTCCAAGTTTTAAGGTTTTTCTAATTTCTTAATTTTTTTTGTTGTTTTTTGTTTTGTTTTTTGTTTTTATGTACTGTAGTGTTTTAACCAAACAATTGTGACTACTCATGGTGAGGAATGACCGCTAAGAGTGTGGGTTCTTTGCAATACATTTGGAGGTCACTGCTTCACGTTGATGTTTAGGAGGTTGAGAGGTTTGGCCTAGGTAAGTGGTGGCCAGGGGGTATGCCCTGGGTAAGTGGTAGCCCTATAGAGTAACAGAGCTGGGGTTCTGGGGATGGTGCAGCCAAAAGGCAGAATACCCCACAGTGACCACAAGAGTCACAACAGGTGAGAAGCCTGGCCGTGGAGGAGGAGGTCTGGAAATGTGTATCTGACTCGTGCCCCTGGCTTCTGCCAATACTTCGTAGAGTCACACTGTGACCTATGCTGGACACCATTCTAGGGTACCTAATGCCACTGCTGTGGGATAGTCACAGACTATGTCAGAGCTGCATCCCTGCCTCTCCCAGCCCTTACGATGCAAACTGTAAGGGCTCTCCTTCTTCAAGTTGGGCCTAAGCCTTATTCCCAAGTCCATATCTTTAATTAATTCAGAGAAACTTGAGGAAAGCTGGAACTTGTGCTGGCATGCGGTTTCTCCCCTGGGCACCGCTGACGTTTGGAGCAGGATTGTGCATGGCTGTGGGGCCATCCTGGATGCCGTAAGACATTGAGCAGCATCCCTGGCCTCCATCGCCTCCATGCCAGAGGCACCCCCTCTCCAACTGTGACCAGAAAACTGTTCCCTGTCTTTGCCAAGCGTCTCTGGGGAGCATAGTTACCTATAGTTTAGAGCTGCTACTGTAGAGAAAGATGTGGGATTTTGAGAGGTTTTTTTGTTTTTTGTGTTTTTTTTGGTACCGGGAATTGAATTTGAGACCTTGCACTTGCAAGGCAGGCAGTGGAACCACTGGGCTAAATCTCTGGCCCTCATTGTTTCTAAAAATAATGCTTAAGAACAGCATACACCTAAAAAAAAATGTGGGCCGGGAATTTGGCTTGCAAGCGCAAGGGCCTGAGTTCCATCCGTGGTACCAAAAAACAAAAAACAAAAAACAAAAATTGTAAAATTACACCAAAATACAAAACATTTTGTTTTTAAAATATGACAAAATGTGCAAAAAAAAGCTGTTTATTACATTATAGCAAAATGTGCAACAGCAGTGGTTCTGCCACCTGCCTTGCAAGTGCAAGATCCTGATTTCAATCCCACTACCCCCTACAAAAAAGAACAACATGCAGTGCCACATATGGCATGGCATTTCTAAATGTATTCTTACCTGAACCTAACATTAATTTATAAAGTATTGATACATATAATTATATACAGTGAAACTGAGAATAGAACATTAATAACACTCAGCTCAATTTCAAGCCAGTTCTCTTTTTACGTTGTCATACTGCATCAGACCTAAAAAAAAAAAGTCTCTGTAGAAGAAATGAAGTTTTTGGAAAGGGCCCAAAGGTTACACTGTAGAGTGTAGAGGAGGGAGAATATTCATGCATGGGGAAATCAACTCCTTATGAAAGTTTAGAAAAATAAATGTATTAGTGTATTAGTCAGATTTTCCTTTTCTGAAACAAAATACCTGACAGATTTTGAGACTCCTTGTGTAGAAATTCAAGAGCCTAGTAGTTGGAACCAAAAGCCTGTCCTCTGAGCAAGTGGTGTCCAGTACGGAAGGGCCTTGCCCCAGCCTGGTGAGCAGTGGGTCAGGCAAAGGCAAATCCAAGAACCAGCTGTGATTCAGCAACCTGAGTGAATACTTCTCAGTTCAGGTGCATTCATTGGCTCTAGACATGGCTGCACACTTCCATTCTTTGTCCACTTCTCTGGATGAACATACTTGCCAGGTCTGGGAGCCCATAGAACACAGGTCAGCTGCCTGTCTGGGACATGCTCAGAGAGCTGTCTTTGTCCCTGGCCTCAGCCATACCTCTTCTGCACCACAGGATGGGGCCAGCAGGGAAGCAAGGAGGTGCAAAGGCCTAGGCATGCTATTGAGGGCTATTGAGGGGTTGTCAGTAGTTACGGAGGAATGTTTGGGGGCTGTAATACTGAAACTGTCCAGCATTTTCATCAGGAAAGACTGTGGGAAAACAATATGTTTGTCACATGTCCCATACCATTCAAATAGAATATGTTCTTCCCTAATGAGATTCTTAAGGTAAGTAGTTTGTGATAGCTGAGGCTTTCCCTATCAAATAGTTGTCAATCTCCCATCTGTCAAAATGGAATTTGAGGCCATTTGAATTTGTGCTGATATTCAGGGCGAAACTTCATCTCACTTGAGCTGTGAGATACAGTCCCATGCATCAAGGCCACAGAACTGGTAAAAAGCTGTGGCCCTCTACTGCCCTTGCCTTCTTCCAGAGGCAGAAGGAATAGTAGGACCAGTCCTGTGTATAGCACATCCTTGTCATCCATCCCTCTTAGACAACCCCTTCTGGTCTTTAGCTAGAGCCCTTTGTCCCACCCTGGGCTGCAGCTGGTACCTGACCAACACTGACTGCAAAGATCACCTACCAGTCCTCCTACCATGTATTCTGTGTATACCACCCATGTTCCTCATGTTTTGCTAGACTGTCCTGAGAAGGGTACCAGCTAGAAGCACCATTCCAGACCATTTAGTATGGTGTGGCTGCCAGCAGCAGTTGGCAGACTACTTGGGAGTGACAAGGCTGAAAGAGTTATCAGAGGGACCAGGGTGCAGTATTGTTTGATTGCAGCAAAGTGGCAAAGGAGTAGAGCAGTGGGGCATTGGTGACCACTCCTGGAGCCAAAGCACTGTGGCTTGTGATGGATGACATGTGTCCTTCCTCCATGTGTTTGGCCCTAGTGTCCACATGATGAAATGTCTGAGTCAGGTCAGTCCTCAGCAGCTGCCACACCCAGCACCACGGGCACCAAGTCCAACACACCCACATCTTCTGTGCCCTCAGCGGCAGTCACACCACTCAACGAGAGCCTACAGCCCCTGGGGGATTATGGTAGTGGCTCAAAGAACAGCAAGCAGGCCCGGGAAAAGCGCAACAGCCGAAACATGGAGGTCCAGGTCACCCAAGAGGTGCGGAATGTCAGCATAGGTATGTGCCTGCCCTGTGCCCTAGCCCTACCGAGTCCTACAAGCACTGCTGACCACCTGCTGTCCTCCACACCAGGAAAGGTTCTCTTCCTCTTTGGTTTTTAGTGTTGGCAGATGTAACAATCACCTCAGGCTTCTGTCACAAATGCCACAGATGGGCAGCTTAACAGCAGAAGTTTGTCTCCTCATTGTCCTAAAAAGTAAGATATAGCAGAGCTAGCTTTTCCTGAGGCTGCCCTCCTGCCTTGCAAATGGCTGCCTTCTCACTGTGCCCTCACAGGGTCCTTAACCCTGTGTGTGTCTGTGTCCTCATCTCTTCTCATAAGGACCCCTATCAGATTGGATTAAGGCTGCCCACCCCAGTGACCTCAATTTACTTTGATTACCTCGTGAAAGACCCTGTCTTGTCCATATCTGATCACACTGTCAACATAGGAATTTGGGGGAAGACACACATGAGCATAGAACAATCTAACAGCACACAACTAGACAGAAGATGAGGACATTTGTCCTGTTCCAATTTGACCATGAAAAGGAGGTGCCATTTATGGCTTGCTGAGATCTAAGGATGTAGCAGGATAGGCCCACAACTGAGCTATCCGGGTCTGTCCTGTGCAGATAGGCCTCTGTGGGCCTTCCCCCAGCAGGACTCTAGTGCTGTGCTTGGAGAGGACAGAGGGCAGCTGCAAGCTGGGTGAAGGTAGTGGACTGGCCCCTGCCCCCAGGTTTTCTTTGTTCTGCCCTAGGCATGGGCAGCAGTGACGAATGGTCTGATGTTCAGGACATTATCGACTCTACCCCAGAGCTGGACATGTGCCCAGAAACCCGCCTGGACCACACGGGAAACAGGTACTCACTCAGCAAGGCCCTGAGTCAAGGATAAGTGTTCACCCAAGTTGCTGCCTGTGGTGTCTCCCACCTTACTTGCATCCACGGTACAATGTTGGCTTTGAACATCTGTTAGTTTTCTGTCACCATGATAGAATACATGAGATAATCAGCTTAAAGGAGGACAGGTTTATTTTGGCTCACAAATTTAAGTGTATGGTCACTCAGCCCCCTTTGTTTGGGCATCTTGGTATGGCAGCATATCATGGACCAGGGACCATAGTCCCTTCAAGGCACCCCTTATGACCTCACTTCCTTCCACGCGGTCCACCTCTTAAAGGTTGAACTATCTCCCAGTAGCAGTATGGGCTAGGAACCAAGCCTTTAGCACAAAGGCTTTTCAGGGACATTTTACATCCAATCCATAACAACACTTATGGTGTTGGAAGGTTAGGGAGGGTCCAAGTGAACAGATGATGTATGCTGTCCACTGACTATGCTTTTCCGGTCTTTATCCTCACAGCCCAACCCAGGGGATTGTCAATAAAGCCTTTGGCATCAATACCGACTCCCTGTACCATGAGCTGTCAACAGCTGGATCTGAGGTCATCGGAGATGTGGATGAGGGGGCAGACCTGCTAGGTAAACACAAACAACCCCCTCCTGCAGCTCTGTAATGATGGGGCTTTCTGTTGGCCATCCTGTTGTGAAGAAAAGTTCAGTGTCCCCAGGGACTAGAATTTTTTTTTCCCCCCTTGGGTACTGGGGATTGAACCAAAGGCCTCCTGCATGCTAGGCAAGTGCTCTACTGCTGGGCTACACACCAGCCCCATTTTATTGTATTTATTTTATAGTACTGGGGATTGAACTCAGGGCATGCTGCCACTAAGCTGCATCCCTACTCTTTTTATTTTTAATTTTGAGACAAGATCTCACTAAGTTGCCCAAGCTAGCCTAGAACTTGTGATCCTCCTAACCTGCCTCAGCCTCCTGGGTAGCTTACTGTATGCCATCTGCCATCTTGTTTGACTGTTTGCTTTTTCTTACAGTTTTATAAAGGTAGATTCCTTATACCATTAACTTCACACCCTTATACCAGTTCATGGTTTTTAGTCTACTCATAGATTGTACAAATATTAGCACTAATTTATGAAATCGTCTCACTCTATAAAGAACACCTATGCCCTCAGCACTCATCCCAGCCCTGTTCCAAACCCCTCCTCGACAGTCAATGTACTTTTTCGGGAGTTTTTTTCCTTTGGGTAGTACTGGGGATTGAAGCTGGGGCACTCTACTGAGCTATATCCCTAGCCCTTTTTATTTTTTATTTTGAGACAAGGTCTCTATGTTGCTAAGGTGAGATTTGAATTTACAACCCTCCTGCCTCAGCCTTCCTCAGTGCTTGATCACAAGTATGCAACACCATGTCTGGCTCTGGGGACATCTAATTTTGTTTTGTTTTGTTTTGATCAAACTCAGGACCTTGCTCTTGCAAAGCAAGCGGCGGAACCACTGAGCTAAATTCCTGGCCCCTTCTAGGGACATCTTTAGAGAGTGATCATTTGCTAGCACCTCTGCTGCACACTGCAAATTCACAGAGTCCCTTGCAGTGCTAACATGGCACTGAGCTCCCAGCACTGTCCTCCTGCTGCTTGTGGAGGCCCCTGTGTTCTCTGGCTATCTGTGGGCAACTAAGTGCTGCCTAGGAGGCTTGAGTCACCTTTCTGCCTGCAGCCCTGCTCTTTGAGGAGCTCTGAAGTCCCAGAGTACAGCCTGAGCACCTTCTGCCCTCAGCAGCCATTGTGGGATGGGCTGCAGTGTCAGCGGCATCTCCTTGCTGAGCAAAGAGAGCAGTTCTTCTCCCTGATGATTCTGTCTGCACCCAGTCTCAGGCAGATCCCTAAGGGCTTGTGCTTCTCCTCATAGCTTTGCTGCAGCAGCCACCTCATGCATTCAGGGAGAGGTAGTAGTTCTGCTCCCCGGTCCTTGTTTCTGTTTTTTTTTGGTTTTGTTTTGTTTTGTTTTGATGTTGGGGATCGAACTCAGGACCTTACGCTTGAGAGTGAGGCACGGCACCACTGAGCTAAATCCCCAGTCCTTATTTCTAGTTTTTGCTGCTGTCCTAGGGACCTGTTTTATTTTTACTTTCAGTTTTTATTTTTTATTAGTACAAGCTTGCAGTATATAATGGTTACATGCCTCCTGAGTTGATACACGTACATAACACATCTTAATTCTTTTTTCGTCCCTGTCCCCTCCAGCCACCCCCCTTATCCTAGGGGCCTTTGGCATAAACATGTGCCCACATGTTTTTTTTTGGCTACCAGGAATTGAACTCGGGTCCTTGCACTTGCAAGGCAGACGGCAGAACCCCTGAGCTAAATCCCTGGCCCTTTAATTTTTTATTTTTTATTTTTTCATTATTTGGGTATTTGTTTGTTTTGAGGCAGTGTCTTTCTATGTAGTTCAGTCTGGTTCTGAACTCACTGTGTAGCCCAGGCGGGTCTCAAACTATCCTCTTGCATCAGCCTCACCAGTCCCATCCCAGGATATTTGATGTCCTTTAAGACCGTTATACTCGCTGGGTTAGGTGTGGCCCTAAGTCTGTTTGGGGAAATGTCAGCCATGTTGTACTAGATAGTGAATCCCATGGAAACACTACTTCTGCCCAGCTCAGATACTGAAGGCTATGACAGCTCTAGCCCAGACTTACCACGTGAGGGCCAGACTGGGAACAGAGCAGCATAGGATCTTGTCAGTGAGCTGCCCATGGTGTTTAAGATGTGGGCTGTGCACAGCTGGTGCTGAAGCTACTGACCGGCAGAACCAAGATCTCAAGAACTTCATGTGCCGAGCTGCTGAGCTAAATCCCTGGCCCTCAACTAGGTTTTTAATACTCTTTTCCTCCCTTATGAAGTACATTAACTAGAACAGAGTGGTTTCATCAATTTCTGTGTAAAAAAAAAAGAAGCGTCTTCCCATCCACATCCATTTTCCTCAGCAGCCCACCGTGTGCTCTGAGGGGATACACCACCCCATGCTTTCCACCTCACTTTTTGACTAATTTGTTTCCTCTCTCCCTAGTGGGTCCTTGATCCCTTACTATCCTCGGATCATTTCTCACCCGAGGTCATACCTTCCCATGAGATCTGGGCTGATCAGGGAGCCAGCTTGCTCACTATGGAGGAGCTCCCAAGAAGCTGTACCCCTTTGCATGTGGCTGGTCTCCTTCTGGGTGGGTGACAGGAACAAAGAAGGAGGTTCCTGGCAAAGCCAGAATTACAGTATTCTGGGCCCCTTGGGGACTGAGGATTGCACCCAGGCCTCCCTTCACCTCAGGGCTCTGCCCTGTGGGATATGCCCTGGGCCTCCTGGAATATGTTGTCCTCCACGCCCTTCAGCATGGGAATGGCTGAGTCATTATTGCTTTTTCTTTACTGAGGATTGCTTTATTTGTTGGTTCCAGTCACCAATTGACCTTTGTTGCTTCCTTCCCCATCTTTCTCTGCTTCGCTGGACGTGGCCCAGGGGAGTTCTCAGGTGTGTATCTCTCCTGTCTGTCTCCTAGCACCCCCCCGTGGAGAGCAGCTGGAGTGGGGTGCATACCGTGGGTGCTCCCCTGCTGCTGGCCATCACCAAGGGCTCTGCACTGGCCCTGATTGCTGTTTGGCTGCACTGGGCTGCCCAGCCACTAAAGCCCCGTGCTTTGCTCACCGGCCTGCTACTGCCTGGAAGCTGATCTTGGTTTGCTCCTTTGGCCGATAGCAGGCCCTTGGTATCTGACCCCCTTTTTTTAGGCTGAGAAGACCTCTAGGGAGCCCCTGAGAATGTACCACCCAAGGTCCCTGTGGTACTTGCTAAGCACAACCCAGGGTCCTGCCCCACACAGGTAGCCAGGCTGAGCTGTTACTTTGCAGGGGTCCCTGAAGCCCACCTGCCTCTCTGAGCCCATACCCTGGTTCCAGTCCATTTCCCAGTGTGGATTCCTCCACCCTGTCCTCTCTAGCCCAGCATCCAGGGACAAGATGTTACTAAATTCCCCACAGGTGAATCTGGCTTGGCCGTGTGGTGTGCAGACCAAGGATAAAACTTTTCGGAGGGGATAGCTGGCTCCATCCCGTTTCCTGCCCTCCTATTCCCCACCTGTGATCACCCTAACCCAGCCAGAAGTGACCCTGAAATACTTTCCACCCTGCAGTCTACACAGGCTTAATGCGCTTCTTTTCTTTCCCTCCTCCCCTGCCCTGTTGCCCATCTCCTATGGGACTGGGACGCTCCCGCAGTGCGTGATGATTTTTTTGGTAAGGCCAAGGCCCTGCTTCTTTGGTATTTCTCTTATCTCTGGCTTCCTCTCTCCACCCCATACCTTCTCATGCTTCATGAGCATCTGCTTTGTTCTGCATGGCAGGGGTGGTGGGGTCAGCAGGGGTTGGCTTCAGGCTGTCACGGGAGGCAACACCTTCCTCTGAGCTGCTGTAGGCAGACCCTCAGCTTCCACAGGCCCAAGGCAGACCCCTAAACCAGACAACCCATTGTCCGCAGTGCCCTGTCCACGAGAGGCAGGCCCATGTTTGAGGCAAGTGAGGTCAGAATGGACAGCAGGTGGACCCCTAGCCCAAGCACCCTGTGAGTGTTTTTGTTGTTTTATGACTGCACAGATATGGGGCTGCTTTTCAGAGATCAGATTTGGTACTTAGGGGATTTATGGGACACGCCTGCCGGGAACTTAGTCTGTGGAGTCCACCTTGAAGCCTGGTAGCAGAGAGACTAGGTCAGAAAGGCACCAAGGAGCCCTGTCCTCATGTCCTGTCCCCTCCTTGCCTCCTGTATAGCCCAGGCCCTGCCAGGCCTGCGTGTATCCCTGGTGGAGGGTCATTCCTACCATGGGCCATCCCATCTTTGTGGCTGGGTGTCTCTCTGAGTCATCTGTCCCCTCTCATTGTGGCTTCAGCATCTATTCACCTGGGGGATAGCTCTGAAAGGGACATGTTTATGATTGGCCTGGAAACTGCCACGTCAGGAGAAGCAGCTGCACACGGGCCATTCCAGGCCCTGCTAGCTCACCTACTTCCTGTGCAGAGGGACCTGTGAGAACCACTTCAAGGGCCTCTTGAAGGTTATAAGCTCTAGACTGCCACCGTGGGGACCCTGCCCTGTGTATGTGGGGCACAGGCCTGGCAAGGGAGCCCACTTCCACTGGCTGTGGAGCCCATGGCCAGGACTCTTCTCCGGGTCTAACTTTACCACCCTATGGAGGCTGGCTCTCTGCAAATCAGGGTGAGGGCCCCAGAGAAGTTTGCTCCTTGAGGCAGGTACAGTAGCATCAGGGTGGCCTTAAGTACTCAGGGAAATCTTTACACTTTTCATTGCAGGAATGGGCAAAGAAGTGGGGAATCTGCTGCTGGAGAACTCACAGCTTCTAGAAACCAAGTAAGAAGGCCTCTGTGCCAGACGAAGCAGCCCCCTTGACACACCACAGAGGAAGAACCATAGAGGCTTTTCGGTTACAGGGCCACGTGGCTAGGACCTTTATCATTGTCTCTAGTAGGAGGTACTCAACAGGATTCCTGAGTAATTTCTCTGGAGAGCTTATCTTAAAGACTCTTTGGCTTAGGTGACCAGAATTTGGTGGTCCCACACTCTCAGCCACATTGTTGACCGAGGTGAACCCTCTCAGATAGGAATATGTGGGCCCCTCAAAAGTCCCTATAACAAGAGCAGGGGATTTGGTTCAGTGGTTCCACTGCCTGCCTCGCAAGCACAAGGACCCGAGTTCGATCTCTGATACCAAAAAAAAAAAAAACAAAAAAAACTCTATAACATTTGCACAGGTGTTCTCCTGAAACCCCCCCAATCTTTCTGACTTTTAAAGAAATGCTTTGAATGTGGTGAAGAATGACCTCATTGCAAAGGTCGACCAACTGTCAGGAGAACAGGAGGTCCTGAGGGGGGAGCTGGAAGCAGCCAAGCAGGCCAAGGTCAAACTGGAGAACCGAATCAAAGAGCTGGAAGAAGAGCTAAAAAGGTGAGGGGGTTTGGAGAAAAGCAAGACTCAGTCTCCCAGACAGGGTTTTATAAGCAGCCTACCACTTCTCATCATGTCTCCCTTGAATCTGTTCTAAATCCTGCACCATCTTGAGAGGCCTCTTCTGCCTCAAGTCGTTTTGTGTGTCCATTGATCAGCTCCGTCTGGGGCCCAGCTCCAGCCACTGACCCAAGTCCATTGTCTACCCAGTGCCTGTCGTCCTCATCTCTGTCTTCTTCTGAGCCTGCTATGCGGGGCCTGTCTTACATATTGTCTGTTGGTGAGGGTGGCAGCCTTGGCGACAGCTCTCACCCCATTCCTTCATTAGCAGAGGGAGGCTCTGGCTGCCCTAGTACCCCACATCCCCTCAGCTCCCCAGTCCTCGCATTAGCCAAGGTCTTCTGGCCCCTGGAGTCCTGTGTCCTGGCTCTGGGCCTGTTGCAATGGGAAGAGTAATGCTGAAGAGAGCCGGTGGGAGGCAAGCCTGCTCTGGACTTGCCTGATCTACCTCACCCAGGAGTGTCCCTGTCTCTTCCTGCCTCAGGATTTTTTTTTTTTTCTTAAGATAGTCTTGCTGTGTGGTCTAGCTGGCTTTCTGTTCACTATTGCAAACTCAGGCTGGACTCAACTTCTGGCGATCCTGCCTCAGCCTCCCAGATGCTGGGATTATAGGCATACACAGCCACGCCTGGCCCTCTCAGGCTTTGACTACCTCTTCCTTGGTCAGAACAGCCAGAAGTGTGGGTTTTGGGGTCATATGAGGCAAGGGTGTGAGGGCCTCCTTGGCCCCAGGGAATTGAACAAATCATTCAGAGCCATCATTGGGGTCACTGGGGCAAACCCTGAGCCTGGCATTCATGAGAACATTGCAGGGCCCTCATCTTCTCTGCTTCCTCTTTTTGTCCTGTAGAGTGAAGTCAGAGGCTGTCATTGCTCGCCGTGAGCCCAGAGAAGAGGTGGAGGATGTAAGCAGCTATCTCTGTACAGAATTGGTATATTCCACTATTAACCTGTGGGCATGGGCAGGGGTGGGCAGGGGTGTGGGGTGGGCTTACTAGGACTTGTTAGTTCTCCTGGGCCCTCTCCACCTGTCCTGTGTGACCTTTGAACCTGGTACCTTATGTGCCGGCCCTCCCCTGTGGCTTTGTGGTTGTGCAGTCCAAGCCACTCTCTCTGGTCCCCAAGTGAGTGTGTAGGTGCAGTGCCAGCGTTTGCTGTGCCTTCCCAGGTACTCTGCCCAGGGAGTCACAGTGTTCTGAGAAAAGCCACCTACAGCCTAGATGGGTTAGGGCCTCGACTTGGAGTCCCCGCCTCCTGCAGAACCTGAATGAGCAGGCTGCACTCCTGTGACATGGCCATCTTCCTTTGGAGAGCAAGCTGGGACCCTGGAGTCACATCAGCCCTCAACCTCAGCACTTTATAGCTCAGTCCATGGGGATGTGAAGATAAAGGTCCATGTTGAAGGTTTATGAAATGGTAGCCACTCCTTTCTGCCCACGCTGTGCAGCTTGCACCTCCAGTAGTCCAGGAGAGACAAAGCCTAAAGTAAAAAATGGCTCACTAGACCCCTTGAGTGAGCAGTGGCTGGACTGGGGCTCAGTCCCTTCCAAGCTGAAGTTAGATGTACTAGGCAAGAGGGGCAGGGCACTTTCCCATAGGCGCCCTACTCCCTGCGGCTCTGCTGGGCCTTCCAGCATTGTCCAACACAGCTCGGGGTTGTGAGGAGCACAGTGGTGGACCGCACTCAGGTCTCTCAAACCTCAGGCATTCTGCTAGCGAGACCTTCCTCAGAACTTTCCTTCTTGTATTTCACATGGACCAGTCCCTCCTGTTCTTCACCTGAGGCATTAGGAACCTGTAGGAGGAGCCGCCTGTGTTATACCGGGCATCATGGGACGTTTTAGAAACAGGTGGCCCTTAGGGAACAGGTATCGTCACCATCCGCTTCTCCCCTACCCACGTCCTTCCCACTCTCACTTACCTGAGCTCTGCAGAATATTGGCATTTGGATCCCGCACTTGGAGGCCATGTCCCCCGCTAAGAGACAGGTGTCCCAGAAGGAAGTGAGATGTCTGGACTGACCCTGTCCCTCTTTACTCTGCTGAGCCGCCGGACCCTCTCCCCTCTGCAGGACAAAATCCCCATGGCCCAGCGCCGCCGCTTCACACGGGTGGAGATGGCCCGTGTGCTCATGGAGCGCAACCAATACAAGGAGCGGTTAATGGAGCTACAGGAGGCTGTGCGGTGGACTGAGATGATCAGGTAGATCTTGCTGCCCTCTACTCTGCGGACCCCAGAGATGAGCTCATGTCTCCAGTTGGTGCTGTGGTCCCTGAGTGAGGGGCTGTGCATTATCCCAAATGATGGGGTGAAGCACGACCTTCACTGCCCCTGCCTCCTGCAGTGAGGTGGAAGGGTGCCAGCTCCTCTCTGTGGGGTCCCATGCAAGGGATGCCAGAGGGCTAATAAATTACTTCTTTTGCCTCCCCTGCAGAGCATCCCGAGAGCACCCATCTGTCCAGGAGAAAAAGAAGTCCACCATCTGGCAGTTGTGAGTAGGACACCCTGGGGGACAGGAGGGCGCCCCTAAGGCTCCTGCCACTCACCCTCTGTGCCTCCACTGTCAGCTTCAGCCGCCTCTTCAGCTCCTCCTCAAGCCCTCCTCCAGCCAAGCGGTCCTATCCCTCGGTGAACATCCACTACAAGTCGCCCACCGCTGCCAGCTTCAGCCAGCGCCGCAGCCATGCCCTGTGCCAGATCTCAGCAGGCAGCCGGCCCTTAGAGTTCTTCCCTGATGAGTGAGTGTCCCACAGCCTCTACTGCCCTCTGTTCAGCAAGAGGAAGGGGTGAGACGTGGGAGAGCCCTCTGCCAGGTCCAGAAGCAGGATGTAGAGAGCTTGCCTTCACCTCACTGTGCTGTGAGACGGGTATGCTCACGCCTCGTCCTCCGTAAGGAACATTGCTGGTCTGGTCTGGTCTGGTCTCGCTCTAGTGTTCTGTAACAGATACACTTTGTCAGAGACTACTTTTTTTTTTGAAGACAGGGTCTTGCTGAGTAACTGTTCAGCCTGCCTTGAACTCACTATGTAGCCCAGGCTGGCCTGAACTCACAGCAATCCTCCTGCCTCTGCCTCCGCCTCCGAGTGCTGGGATTATAGCCTGCACCACCAAGCCTGGCAAAGGCTGGATTTTCTGACAGCTCCTCTTCTTAGTCCCTGAGGGTTGTGCTGGGCTCTGTGTGTCCTTATCCCCATCCCCTGCCACTCCCTGTTCTGTACACTGGCCCTGAGCCTTGTGTCCCTGGGTTCTTGAGCATCTGGCTGCATCAAGGAACTTCTTTAGGCATACCTTGAGTGAGGAGCCACTGACTGGATCCAGCCCAGGCTGCAGTGAAGTCTCTGCCAGCTAAACCCGAGGGCCCAGGCAACACAGCAGGCTCCCAGACGGGGACAGATGTTGGGTGTGGCTTCTCAAGCCAGAGTCACATTCCATCCTGGAGATGACTCTCTGTCAGATGGGGCCCAGTGGCCAGTAAAAGACAAAGGGAGACTTCCATAGGATCCTAGGTAGGACAGGTGCCCTGTAAGGTAGCCCTGTGGGCTCTGTGTGTCCTGGGCTCGCACAGGCCATTCCTCTTGGACAAGGACATGGCCTTTCGTTCCTTCCCTCCCAGTGACTGCACATCCTCTGTCCGGAGGGAGCAGAAGCGGGAGCAGTACCGCCAGGTGCGCGAGCACGTCCGTAATGATGACGGGAGGCTACAGGCCTGTGGCTGGAGCCTGCCAGCCAAGTACAAGCAGGTGTGTGTAGGGGAAGTACTGGAGGAAGGGCATTGGAGGGAATAGAGATGGTCAAAGGTGATAGGCAGGACTGAGGTACAGTGAGGGTGTGCAGGGCCAGACTGGTACCTACCCCTCAGCCTGACCAGGGCAGACCTCAACCCTGGGGGAGAGAGCAAGCTGGAGCTCTGCAGCCCCTGTTGCTCCCTGCTCAGGCCTGGAGGACCAGGCTCCTGCCCAGTGTGCCGTCTGTGTCAGAAGCGAGCAGGCTTGGCTGACCTGGGGTTCTGAAGGATGAGTGCCCGCCCCTGGCCTTGTGCTCACAGTGCCTTCCCACTCTGTATAGCTGAGTCCCAATGGAGGCCAGGAAGACACACGGATGAAGAACGTGCCTGTCCCTGTGTATTGCCGCCCTCTGGTAGAGAAGGACCCTACCATGAAGGTGAGCCCAGAGGGCCCCACATGACCTCCCCCAGAAGCTGAGCAGCAGATCTGGGAGGTGGGCAGGGGAGCTGTATGTCAGACCCCACGCCTTAATCTTGCAGCTGTGGTGTGCTGCTGGTGTCAACCTGAGTGGGTGGAAGCCAAGTGAGGAGGATTCTGGAAATGGAGTCAAGCCCATGCCAGGCCGTGACCCTCTGACTTGTGACCGGGAAGTGGAAGACGAACCCAAGAGCAATCACACGTCCCCAGAGAGGAAGAAGGTCAGTGTGGCAACAGGACTCTCCTGCCATCTCCCCGTGCATTGTCTGGAAAGTGTGCTACAGGGCAGGCTGGAAAGGACAGAGCTAGAGGATGCTGGGATGGTGCCTACTGTGAGGCTGAGTGGAGGAGGCAGCTACTTTGGAAGTCAGGGTTAGTTTCTTCTCCAGGGATAGGCCTGGGCAGAGCTGCATCTGGCTCTCACCAGGAACCCAGGAGTTAGGAGTGCAGTCCAGCAGGCTGCTGGAGCTGTGGTGGATGTTACTGTCTCAGTGCCCACTTGGAGTCAAAAGCAGATGTTTCTTGATTCATGCAGAGGAGTAAACAATGGAATGGGCTGAATGTGGGAGGGGGCAAAAGGCTTCATGGTTGGAGCCCAAAGGATAGTTTTATATACCAGCTTAATGTGGGGACCGGGTATTTCTCTTAGAAGTGAACCATCTAGACATGGTTCTGAGCTCTCTGGGCTACAGGCAAGGACAGCCATGTCCTCTGCAGCCATGGTCAAGGAAAGATCCTGTGAGATCCCAGAAGACTCCTGGACACCAGCCCTATGTCTATGCTCTGAAACAGGCAAAGGAGCTGCCAGACACAGATGCTACCTCCAGCCGGGTATGGATCCTCACCAGCACCCTGACCACCAGCAAGGTGGTGATCATTGATGCCAACCAGCCGGGCACCGTTGTAGACCAGTTCACAGTCTGCAATGCCCATGTCCTGTGTATCTCCAGCATTCCTGGTGAGTCCTGAGCCCTGCACCACCAGGCACCACCCTCGGGTGGGTGGGCACAGCCCTTCCAAGCTGGTGTTCAGGGAGGGTAGTTCTTTATTTATACCAAGGGATGACTAGGATGTTAAGTTAATGGGGACAAGATTGTGGCCTGCAAAGTATGTAAGTGGACAGTGGGAGGTGGTCAGGCCAAGTCAAGTGAGATCCTGCGGCACATGTCTAGGGGGAAGCTTGCTGGTGACCTTGTTCTGCCATTGCTGGTGCTGACTCAGAGGAGAGCTTGCAGTTACACTTAGCTGGTTAGAAGTGACAGGTGGGCACAGCATGGGCCAAACTAAAATATTGCTTAGAAGCAATAAGAAAAGTTTTCTTTGTGATAAAAGTGAATCTTCACTAGGCTCAAGTCCCATTGCCTTACTGAGGGCCGGAGAGATGGGTACAAGTGAAGGGTTTGGCTTCTTCTCCTTGGGCAGCAGCATCTGTGACTTCCTGGGTGAAGAGAAATGGGTGATGAGGGCCCTGTGGGTCTCAGGTGTAAAACCTTAGCTCCTTAAAGTTCTTTCGGGTTTGGCACATGACATGATGCTGTTTGTTTGGAGCACCAGACCCTCCTTTCTTGGTTCCCTTTGGCCTGGGGGCCCCACCCAGCACAACATGCTCGCTGGCCTCCCAGGTCTCTGTGTGGATGTCCCAATGGAGTCAGAGTACTGCCAACGGTGGAGGCTTGGCTGGCTCAGCCTAGAACCTGGGCCCACCTGGTAGAATGTGGAACACTGGCCACGTGGATGGTATCCATCTCTCCCGCTGCCTCCATGGGGCTGAACTCTGGTGTGGCCTTAAGCTACTAGGCTCTTTGGCATGACTAACAGGCTGTGACTTTCCTCCCAGCGGCCAGTGACAGCGACTACCCCCCAGGGGAGATGTTCCTGGACAGTGACATGAATCCTGAGGACTCCAGCACTGATGGTGTGTTGGCTGGCATTACACTGGTGGGCTGTGCCACTCGCTGCAATGTGCCACGTAGCAACTGCTCCTCTAGAGGGGACACCCCAGTTCTGGACAAGGGCCAAGGTGAGTCTTGGGCAACCTTCTCTCCATCCACCTTGTTTCTCCCATCTCTGCCCAGCCAAGCTTACCCCTCCTTCCATAGGAGAGGTGGCTGCCACTGCCAGTGGGAAGGTGAATCCATCCCAGTCCACAGAGGAGGCCACAGAAGCTACGGAGGTGCCAGACCCTGGGTCCAGTGAGCCAGAAGCAGCTGCAGTGCGGCCTGGGCCCCTCACAGAGCATGTCTTCACCGACCCAGCACCTGCCCCACCCTCCAGCACTCAGCCTGGCAGGTGGGCTCTCTCAGGTCCAGCAAGACAGAAATGGAGGGGAGACTGGCAGAGGTGGAAGGGTCTCAGGGAAGGGGTCAGGCACAATTTTCGGGCTACCGTGGAGCCACCGTCCTTCTTGCAGTGAGAATGGGCCAGAGGTCGATGGCAACAATGTACAGCCTCAGCCAGAACCCACCGGGGACCCCTCAGCACCAAGCAGCAGTGCCGCACCGACCATGTGGCTGGGAGCCCAGAATGGCTGGTAACCTGGCTAGGGCAAGGTTGGAGGGTCCCTGGCTTCACCTGCCCTTGTGTGCATGCCCACCTCAGCCTCCTTCCACAGGTTGTATGTGCACTCAGCTGTGGCCAACTGGAAGAAGTGTCTGCACTCCATCAAGCTGAAGGACTCCGTGCTGAGCCTGGTGTATGCGACCCCACACCGAGGGCTGGGGGTCAGATGGGGGCCCGAGTGGCGTGATTAGCCTGAGCCTGGCTCACTGCCTTTTCATTCCAGGCATGTCAAAGGCCGTGTGCTCGTGGCTCTCGCAGATGGGACTCTGGCCATCTTCCACCGTGGTGAGGGTAAGGTTTGGTGGTCCTGCTGCGTTTGGCCAGGGTGCTCCTCTGGGTCCCTGGAGCTGGCCTCAGCCTGGCAGTGGGTTCTCCACCCCTACCCATGAGTAGAGGGACCCCAGCCAGCCTGAGCAGGTGTCATGGGCTTTCTCTAGATGGCCAGTGGGACCTGAGCAATTACCACCTGATGGACCTGGGCCACCCCCACCACTCTATCCGATGCATGGCTGTCGTGTACGACCGCGTCTGGTGTGGTTATAAGAACAAGGTGCACGTCATCCAGCCCAAGACAATGCAGATCGAGGCGAGTGCTCACCACCAGTGTGGCTCCAGGGAGGGGAGGGAGGCCAAGTGGGGAACCACGCAGAGAAACTGCTCCTTTGTTCAGAGGCATGGGCAAGTCAAATGTAGCTGGGCTATCACTGTCAGTCTGTTGAGCCTGCTCTGTGCTTTGTACCCTTAAAACGGAAGTCAAGGACACACACCTCTCCTGTGGTTTGGCCTTAGTCCAGGGCCTAGACCCTTGGAACAATGCAGATGCTGGATCAGAGGCTGGAGTGGGCTAAATAGATATTGGGGTCCCTGGGGCTTTGGCAGGTTCAGGGTCCCCTCCCCATTCTCTCCTCCCTCAGCCCCACTGATTGGCTGCCATGACCCCACAGAAGTCATTTGATGCCCATCCAAGACGGGAGAGCCAGGTGCGGCAGTTGGCATGGATTGGTGATGGGGTGTGGGTGTCTATCCGCTTGGACTCCACCTTGCGGCTCTACCATGCCCATACCCACCAGCACCTGCAGGATGTGGACATTGAGCCCTACGTCAGCAAGATGCTGGGTGAGGGGTGACACTGGGTAGGAGCAGGGTGGGGACGGTAACACGGGCCACACTGACTCAGCCTCTCCTGCTCCCACCCAGGCACAGGCAAGCTGGGCTTCTCTTTTGTGCGCATCACAGCTCTGCTCATCGCAGGCAACCGCCTCTGGGTGGGCACCGGCAATGGGGTTGTCATCTCCATTCCGCTGACTGAGAGTGAGTGACAGCAACCTGGGATACCTGTGATGGCTACTCCTAAAGGGCACATGTCAGGATGGGGTCGGGGAGGCCACACAGACCCAGGTGGACCCGGCCACCCTGGCTGTAGCCACACTCAATCTCTGCTCTCCTCACCAGCTGTGGTCCTGCATCGAGGCCAGCTCCTAGGGCTCCGGGGTGAGTACACAGCCCAAGGTGGTCACTCTGCTCCCCTCCTGTCCTTTCTCTTCCTTCCCTTCCTCCCCCCACCCCCTTGCTGGAAATGAGGTGGCTTAGTGCCCTCTGTATCTCCAGCCAATAAGACATCTCCCACATCTGGGGAGGGCGCTCGCCCAGGGGGCGTCATCCATGTGTACGGGGATGACAGCAGTGACAAATCAGCCAGCAGCTTCATCCCTTACTGCTCCATGGCTCAGGCCCAGCTCTGTTTCCACGGGCACCGTGATGCTGTCAAATTCTTTGTCTCAGTGCCAGGTGAGGGGTCACCCTGCCCACCCCAGTGCCCGCCCACCACTGTAGGGGTACAGTGGTAGCCCCTCCAGGAGGCTGCCATGCTGAGGCCTTTCTGCCCCGTGACAGGGAATGTGCTGGCCACCCTCAATGGCAGTGTTCTGGACAGTCCCTCTGAGGGCCCCGGGCCTGCTGCACCTGCTGTAGACGCTGAGGGCCAGAAGCTGAAGAACGCACTAGTGCTGAGTGGTGGTGAAGGCTACATCGACTTCCGCATTGGTGAGCAGGCACTGCCCAGGGCAGGGTCATGGGTGTTAGCCGGCAGGAGCTGCCCCTAACTGCTGTGACTCTCCAGGGGACGGAGAGGATGACGAGACAGAGGAAGGTGCAGGGGACATCAGCCAGGTGAAGCCCGTGCTGTCCAAGGCAGAGCGCAGTCACATCATCGTGTGGCAGGTGTCCTACACCCCAGAGTGAGGCCACTGCCCCAACTCTCCACCCTGCCTGACGCCAATGTGTACATAGGACCCCTGCCTGCCTGCCCTTTGTCTCCTCCCCTGGGGCAGCTAGGCACCTCACCACCCCCTCCTAACCTCTCAACTTGCAGCTTTCACCTGAAGTCCAGCCCCCTCCACCCAGCTGGCAGGGAGAGGGGTGATACGGGTCACAGGAAGGGAGGCAGGGATCAGGTAGTGTTCCCAGCAGGGAGAGGAGAACCTCTGAGAACACCTTCTCCCCAACAGTACCTGGCTGGCACCCAGCCCAGTGTCACAAAGTCTCAAAGGCACTTCAGGGTAGGGATAAGGCCAAGGTGTCTTGGGCAGCCCTGGTCCCTCTGTGGGCTCCCCACTCCTGGCACCCCCACGGCAAGAGCAGTGGATTTGAGCTGCCAAGTCTTCCTACCCTGAGTCCAACTGCTTTGCATGCTGCCCATGGGAGTGGGGTCCCTCGGCCCCCCAGGCTCTTGCTCTCCCCCTAAGGGGACCAGGCCAAGTAACCATCCTGTGTCCAGGGAGGCGGGGCTCAGGCTGCTTGGACCCCAGCCAGCCTTCTGTGGGTATCCCTCATCCACAAATATCATTCCCTCAGCCCTATCCAGCCTCCCCTGGGATCTGGCATTAAAGTTTGGGGCCAGGCTCCCCAGGGCAGCTTCTTCAGAAGACAAACCAGGTGCCATCCAGTCCACCCCTTGCTGACCCATGTCCTCCCTCGCTCACCTTGGAAGAGCAGGATCCTAGAGTCGAACCCCTCCCTGAAGCCCCTAGGGTAGAATTTCTCAGGCTGCCAGGGCAGGCCCAGGCCTCAGGAAAGAGGTCTGTGGCCTCTCCTGGGCAGGTAAGGGGGCTTGGTCCAGAGTGCAGGCTCAGCCTCAGGTTGATGGGGGTGGTGTGCTCTTGGGATCTGTCCCCTGCACAGGGCTCCGAGAAGCCCAGCTCCCAGACATGCACTAAGTGCCTAGGGTTGCCCGCTTTGGCCTGCTCCCATGAAGAGCAACTGGTGAGGGGCTGCCCAGCAGAGGCCAGAGGACAAAGACAGGGCCACTGCAGCAGGCCCTGGGCTTCCCTCCTTACCCACCTTCCCAGCCCAGGCCTTACTCCTCCTCCAAGGCACTGATCAGGGCAGTGTGGCCCCTGCTACCCACCACCCCCTAGAGAAGCACAGATCTTAGGGCGCAATGCCATGAGCCCAGCTGGCCACCACAAGCTGCGGCCACATGTAGCTGCAGGCTTCTCCCTGCCACCCTGCCACCTCTCCACTGTGATGTATGTCCCTGTCTGTCCCCACAGGAGCTGAAGTGACTGGGTGTAGAGGGTGGGTGGAGCTGGAGAAAGGGGCTAGTGCAGTTCTCCTCAGGCTTTGTTCGGTCCTGCAAGTGAACCCACGTATCTGCTCTGTATGTAATAAACGTCTTGACACAACGCCTCTGCCTCCCCAGGACCAGGCCACTGCGCGCTCGGGCTTTTCTGTTTATTATGAAAACATTGATAATGATGGATGAGAAGAGTGTGATGATTCCAGGTGCTGTGGGCTCTGCTGCAAAGTAGCTGGTTGTCCCAGGTGGCCTGCACCCACTGCTTAGGGGACAGTGGTAGTGGTCTCCCACCAGGCCAGCTGCTCCTACTCCTACAACCAGTGTGAGGCGCTGTCCTCCCAGCACAAGATCTCCTCCACGCGAAACCAGAGTGCGATCTCGCGGCGGGCACTCTCTACTGAGTCGCTGCCATGGATCAAGTTCCTGGGGGAGCGCAGAGTGGAATGAGCCGGCTGAGAGGGGCCAACGGGCAGGGTGTGAGGAGGCGGGATAGGGTAACTGCACCTTACTTGCCAACCTCTACACAGAAATCCCCTCGGATGGTGCCAGGCTCGGCATCCAGTGGGTCCGTGGCCCCAATAAGGACTTTTGAGACGCGCACAACGTCCAGCCCTTGCCATACCTGCGTGGGGGATTAGAGGTGTTGCGTGGGCAGAGCCCTGGGGCCAAGGCACCAGCCTACCCACCGCTGGAAACTCACCATGGCCACCACGGGCCCAGAGCCCATGTATCTGACCAGGCAATCGTAGAAGGGGTGTGTGCGCAGGTCCGCGTAGTGCTCCCGCAGCAGTTCCTCGGAGACCTGGGGGAGGGACGGCCGCATGCACCCCGGCCCGTGTTCCCATCCCGCTTGCCCCCAGCGGCGTGCCCTGCACTGCCTGCCCCCCACGCCCGCGTACCTGCACCAGCTTCAGTGCCACCAGCTTCAAGCCCATCCCCTCGAAGCGCCGCACTATCTCTCCCACCAACCGCCGCTGCACCCCGTCGGGCTTTACAGCCAAAAAGGTGCGCTCCTGCACGCCACG